TCGTGCAAACAACGCACGCGATTCAATGGTGTTGTTTTCACAGGTTGAACGCACACTCACGTCAAAGTTTGTGCCAAGTTTGGAGTTGTTTGGGCGAGTGGTTCTCGAAAAAGCTGCAAAAAATAGCGCAGATATTCACCCCTATACTGGACAATGGTATCGCCCTGCAGTATGGTTGCTCAGTCGACCGCCTACAATGGTCGCTCAGTCGACTGTAAAAATAATGTGCCCGTGCAGCCACTCACGTACGTGTACATACGGAAACGTGGTAGTGCAGGTCAGCTTTCTCTATGCTATGGCACAGACACACAGAGGTTTATGAGACATATAAATGGAGCCAGCTACGCGTCTCTTTTGTCTACCAAACTTTACGCACGTAGTGTTAATTGTGACGTCACGCAACTTCAGTGGCGCCATATACGCATGCGTACACATGCAGGCCAAATCTATCATGAGACAAATCATGCATGGGTCCAATGTGCAGCTTTTTTCGAGAACTGCTCGTCCAAACAACTTTAAACTTGACATCGACACTGCACATTCTGTGATCCGGAGCAAAACACCCGCCGATTTTCAACTTCATACGGTGCTCGGTTCTGGAGATAATCGACGTACAGACAGACAGACAGACAGACACACACATTAATGAGGTTCCTATCCATTATGGTGTGCAGTAAACAATTGCATAAAAGCCTCCTTCACGAGTTGTTAATTAACAAATATCACCCTTTTTGCCGGCTTCCGTTGGTCGATACCGAGACCCGCGCTATATCACGCTGAGTGACGCTAATGAATATGCTAATCTACCATACGTTACTATAGTTGCTTGGCCGAAATCGGTCAGCCGTAGCGCCTACGGCGCTTTGCTGAATAATGCACATGGGTCGACAAATAATTTTTTTGATCCTCTTCGAAATTTTCTTTGGAGATGATTCAAGCTGTAAAATTAGCGTCCACAACAACAGATTAAGCTGAAATTCGGAATATGCTTAGATGATATAAGTGTTCAACTACTCGTAAAATAACAACTTGGATAAATTCCTTGAAATTGGGATAAATACATACATTTGGGGAAGTTTTCGAACGATTTCTTCCAGACTTGAAGGTCAGCTTTGACCAGTATGGAGGTTTCGGCATCGATGACGGCGACTTTTTCACTGACATGAAGTTTAGAATTTCTTCTTCAAGTAGAATGTAACATTTCAATCATACCTAGCATATTTTCTGAAAAACACAACGTTCAAAAGGCAATGTTTTGGGGGGGGGGCTCACGAATTTCAATGCTCGGTTCAGTTACCGTCGTCGTAGTACGTAATCGGATTAGCTTTCCCGGACAACGACCGACGCTTTGCCTTCGCAAACGGGCTGTATAACTTGACACCCTCGATCTATATTTTCTATAGATCGATGCTTCAATTTTCAGGTTGGTATCAGGTACGTCGCGAATCGATCGCTCGCCGCCGTTAAGCGAAATTGCAATGCCAATGATTGAGCACGGCAAACCCCCCCCCAAAAAAAAAAAAACAAGTAAAGTATCATGTTTGACTACCATCAACCGAAATCGCTAAATTAAGTGGACAATTTCGTGTTTACCACCGCCAAAAACGCGTCCTTGCTCAAATTGAACGAGGCTCCGCCGCTCCATAGGGGCACTATGCGTCAATGGCTGATCGAGCTCAGGGTCTGTGCCATTATAACCCACGGTCTCTATAGAGTGGTTGGCAATGGGCAATTCTGCGAAACATTATACAAATATAACATGGTTTGAGGGTGGACAGTCGATATTTGCTCCCCGAGGTATTGGAAGTTGACAAACTTGTTCCCGAGGCGAAGCCGAGGGAACTAGTTTGTCAACTTCCAATACCGAGGGGAGCGAATATCGGCTGTCCACCCGAAATAAACCATGTTATATTTGTTTTACTTTACCTCATACATATTTAGCGCCGATTTGGGGTTTGTTTTCGTTGCAGTATGCACCTCATTTTATTTTTAAACTTCACCAGTTCAACAAAAGAATCGTATTGCTCAACTTCACTAGTTCAGTTCGTTTACAATGCAGTGCAGCTGTAAATAGTTTGTGTGCAACATTCTTTTGTACAGGAGATATCTTTATTGTCCATAAATAGTTTCTAGTTCGGCATCATTGAGCTCGCTCGGGAAAATAACGCGCCGTGCAACCATCTCATCGTGTGTAACTCGTTTGGGCGATGTTCGCGCGTGCGTACTACACCCGTGCGACAGTTCCAAGATTGCTTTGTAAAGCGCATGCCATGCGTAGTAGACTGTCGCACGGGTAACCCGTGCGACAGTCTACTACGCATGCGTATTTACCCTGTGCGTGAATCCTCGCGCGCGCGTTTGGTAAACAGCACAAATAACATCTGGCATGTGATGGCGAATTGACCAGTGAGTGTTCGGCTCTCGACCATGAATATGTATGAGGTATAATAATCCCATTTTCAATATGCCCTTGAAAGGTACAATCAGAAAGAAATTGGCTCCTCCATGTCGTGTTTTCGAGTTTCGCCTGCTCTTACCTGCAGCCCGGCCTTGCAAGTCAAGGCTAACCGATATTACGTATTCACAACGTTTAAGGTGAGTACTTCATGAATTATAATAAGGATCGTTTTATAATTAAAATGGGTCATACATTAATTACACAAAGTCAAAATCTATAGGTCGGCCGACCAGCATTAGGAAAAAAACTGGCTTTTTTCAAATCCTGCCTCCAATTTACCACATTTAGTTCGTCTGATTTCTTTTTGGCAATCGATAACATATCTATGAACGGGTACAAGCCTTCTGACCTTACAGTTCCCCGACGGCTATAAATTGCTTCAATTTAAGTGGGGTCAGGGTCAGGGAATCTGTTGTTGATATATAGGATTACATGTATATTACATTTGCTTGCCATTTTGTTCTAACTAAAGTTTTGTTTTGTTTTTATTTTTGTTCATTTTCTTTTCATTTATAAATTTTTATTTATATTGTATACATTTTGTGTAATTAAGATCTATTTAATTTTTGTGTAGACATTTCGAGCATGGGTAGGCAGGCCTTAGGGCTACAGTGTTTAAGTACACTTTTGTTTACCCTGGCCGGTTTGGAGTGTTATATTGTCCTTGTTTTCTGTCCCTCTATCTCCTCTTCCCTGTCAAACTGTCCACCCTCCCTTCCCTCCCCCTCGACCCATTCCTTCTCGCATCCTTCAGTCTTGTCTGGTCATACTTTTTCAATTTCCAATTTTGTTTACTTTTTGATATATCTTTGCTTTGTCATTGTACTTTTGTTCATTTGTTGGTCGAATAAATAATAATAATAAGAAGAAGAACATGAATGTTTTTCTTGGTTTGTCCAACATCTACGAACACAAAATTTCAAACAAGTCAGTGTAAGCATAATTATTTGCTACCATGCTTATCCCCCAAATCCATCAATTTCTGAAAATTGCAAATGTTGTACAATCACGCATCTTACACACACGGATGAACGACTGTTAATGTTCTGCAGTGAGCTCTTAGTACAAAATGCACTGAACGGACTTGCCTTAGGTTGGACGCGTGATTAACGGTCCTTTAAGGGGGCTTTACCCGTGGGCATGTTAATCGCGAATTTTCCAGGTGTGCCATTTTGTCGTGATTTTTTGCATGACACCTAAAACGGAAATATTCATAAACCTTTAAGCAAAACCACTCCTTATGTAAGATATACTTGTTCCAAAATTGTTTGAAAATAAATACTTCAGCATAATTATGGTCACTTTTTTGTGCAGTTTTTGTCGTCATAGATGATGTATTTACCCGGGAAATAAACGTCAATGTGACACCTTTTTCGAAGAGAGCACCATTTACCCAAATCTCGTTATTAATTAGGCTTGCATTAAAAAGTTTTAAAGAGATGTGGTCCCGTACTGATAAAACAAAAGCGACATTTCATAATTAATTTTAATGCAAAATATATGTGCTCGGCGTTCACATGGATATGTAGTTATCACTTATCAGAATTCAATAGAAAAGGCCAGAAACGTAGGATGATCAATATTCAAAAATATAATTAGCTGGCTTGACAGACTTGGACACCAGATCAGGCACAGAGCCCTGCAAATTTGATAACCACCGCGAGCAGTACAGGGTGAGTAAAAAAAAACGAAACCCGAATGTTGGGACCATTGTTTTAGAGAAGTTCTGCATGTAGCACTTTGTAAATCTAGGATATGAAAGTCCAATTCATTAGCTTTCTTTAGTACAAGAATCATTCAAATCACTCATGTACTTTTCAAGTTACGGCATTTCAAACACAGCCACCGTTTTAAGGTTATGTCCACGGATCACAAAAAAGGTGTGAGTTCTTTCACCAAAACGAAAACTATCACATCCCTATGTGATGTGTTTTCGTTTTGCTGAAAGAACACTGAACTTTATTGTGATCCGTGGACAGAACCTTAAAAAGGTGGTTGTGTTTAAAATTCCGTAACTTGAAAAGTATACATGAGTGATTTGAAGGATTCGTGTACTAAAACAAAGCCTATGAATTGGGCTTTCATATCCTAGATTTTGAAAGTGCTACATGCAGAACTTCAATAAAACAATAGTCCCGACATTTGGGTTCGTTTTTTTTTGCTCACGCTGTACTTGAAGCAGTTAAGCTGTCTGGGTCTTTTTTGACAAGTATTCATGGTAATTGCCACCTGTATAATGAGCCGTTATCACGCGTCTAACCAGGAGTTTGGCGAAGTCGTTTATCCTTGGATGTAGGATCCGTGGTACATGTACATGTACATGTACAATGAAAAGCGCCAGTCACTCAGCGTGCCCACATATTAAGTGTTGTCATCATTGTCCTCGAAGCGTTATCCTTTCGTTCTTGCCAAAATCCTCATTGTTCTTTTATACATCAGCTCAATCATGTGCTGTGCTGTGTCATTGCCATTCTCAACAATGACACCACCGGCCTTTCTTGAACACAAACGATTGACACTTACACTGCACTACACTGCTTCATTATTTTGCATCTATATCTTTCATTTATTCCAATCTCTTCACACAGAATTCTATACACCATTTTGGTTTGTACCAAATATATATTTAATACAAAAGTACGCTTCAAAAGTAAATGTACAAGCATTATATATATTTTCACATAATATAAATCTTTTTCCTCGTGACACCACTAGTGCTGTTTAATATCATGGCAGCAAATCTGAAATAAACGAATTTTGTCGGTTCCCGACATTTAAAGCTTTTTTGGGGGCATCTTCAGTAAACTTGAAATTATGATGGTCGACACACTTTGTTTCTAGGAGTGGGGGTTGCTGGCTGTTGTGGGCTACTAAAGCAAGCTTGTGTACAGTGGCGAGTGGCCTCAATAATGTGATGTAATGTTGGATGTTACAACATAACTTGACATTTTAATACATCCACTAACTCTGCGTAGTTCGTTTCAACCATGTTTTTTTCCTGTAAATAGCTACTTTAACTTATCTTGTAAAATCGTTTGTGTATTAAATTTTTAAAAATATTAATTTTAGTTTTACATTTGAAAAAAAAAGTAGTTTTACGTCATTTTAAAATCTTTTACGGTTTCAAATTCAGGCAGGATTTCATGTCTTCTTTTTTTTCTTCAAATACTACAGCAACCTTTTTTTTAATGTTAACCAAATACATGCAGTGGATGGAACGTGTGCAACCATAGTGTTTTGTAATTAGACAAAACCTTGACTGAAATACGAGTGCGTGCAAAACAAGTGGTCCGCGGACCGCATGTGTCGCCTTTTTCCGCGGTCGATTCCAATGTTTTGTGTTCTTAAAAAAAGTCAAGTTTTGTACATTTTTCAACGACTTCAAATGACCCCAGATGACCTTTGACCTCCACTTTCGGAATTGGATGAACCCCCACCCAAGGATCACTCCATCCAAGTTACATTAAAATCCATCAAATTCTGTAGACAAAGAAACATTTGAAGGATATTTGAACAATGACCTCTAATGACCCCGACATGACCTTTGACCTCAGTAATCCGATGAAGAATTGTGTCTTTCCACCCAAGGGTCACTGCATCCATGTTTCGTCAAAATCCATGAAAGCATGTAGAAGTTATAAATTATTTTTTCCAAAACAGAACGTAAACTTGAACATATTATGGCTAGTATACGGGGCTATGGCCATACGGGACTATGGTGTCTCCCAAAACTTTGTTTGGGCGACACAAAAATGCACATTGACACAGCCAACTGGTACGTGTACATGTATTTGTCCTGTGTAAAGTGCACTGTAGGAATAGGTTTTTTTTAAATCCACTCTAAATTTATCTTGCAGCATTCTTATGATAATATGATTTGTCCTAGATCTTGTCTCCGGTGATAATAAGTGCATTATTTTACAAAGGGTAATACTTGCAAGTGTTGGAACTTATACATTGTATAGAACGTAATTAATAAAAACATACAGTATGATATCTATAGAATAGTTTCTTTTCTGTGTACAATGCCTAACACATTTTCAAGTAAAAAATTATATATATTTACACCACTGTCTGCCCAACAGAATGTTTTAAGTTCTGATTTTACAGCTGATATTCATCTTTTACACATTACAATGCACTTTTACATGTACCCAATAACCATTAAAAAAAATTCTAATTGCACCTGAAGTCAAATTCAGATGGATATAAAACATCTAAAACCTTTCAAGCTGAAAACAATGCATGTAATGTATGGGCATTCAGTTTTTTTTCACATTTTTTTAGACTTTGAATCTACAGGAAAATGGAAAGACCAAAAAGGGATGAACTCATAATTACATGTACTTTTTCATTTTCCCCGCGATGTCAATTTTTATTACAAGGGGTGTGAGTGACCACTGATAAAAAATAGCTGAAAACAGCTGAAAAATTTCAGGTGTAAAAAAGCTGAACTTTGGAAATCTCCTATACTTCTGTACACAGCAAGTGAGGGGAAAAAGCTGAAATCCAAAACAACAAAAAAAGCTCAAATCAACTTGAAAGCTGAGATTTCAAACCCCTGTAATACAGTGGAATGTCACTATACCGAACACCGCTATACCGAACATTCGACTATACTGAACATCATCCTTGGCTCCCGATTTTCGTGTACAAAATGTACTGAACATTGTTGTTGACAAATTTCAACAGATGAGCGACAAGTGGCTATTATTTCCCCAAGGAATAGAAGGGGAGAGAATGCTCTAGGTAGTAAGCTCAGAAACTGGGTAACATCAATAGTCGGCACATGTTCAAAGTCATCTTTCAGTAACTACCAGGGCGTGCAGGGTGATGTTCTGAAGGGTGCTTTTTATTGAAAAGTTGAGTACCAGAGCACCGGCAGCTTAAAATCGCTATACTGAACGCTGGCTATTACCTACAATTTCTGTGGATCCCGTTGATGTTCGTTATAGCGAAGTTCCACTGCACACATAAACATGTGCATTGGTTTGTAACATCTGGAAAGTTGCAGTACGTGTGTTAATTTTTTTATTTAATAGCCTCGGCATGTGGAACCAATTCTCTAGGGGGAAAAAATGAATACAGCTATTTTCATTGATAATTTGTACTACATGTATAATACATTTGTAATTTTTAAGTGTCAAAATGAAAAAAAAGAAGTAAAATAATAGTTACTTTTGTGTGATATATAACGGCACCGGTGTATGTACATATGAATGGTATAAATGCCTTTGAAATGTTACAAATCGTTGATTTTATTTTGTGTACGTGTTAGAAATCAGATGCACTGTTTACTCATGTTATTAATAATACCAATATCACAGTTTTTAACAAAAATCCGAGATAAATTTAAGGGAAAATAAGAAAAGATTACTATTTTTTTTAATCTGAGTACCAGTACCTTTTTATCCGCATTACTTAAGAGGGTGATATTTCCCCCTTTGCAATTATAAAAGTGTGTAATACATATAGTCGCCAGCATTGCTACACTTCAATCGTGTACTAAAATTGGCAGCCATTGGTTGGTACATTGGGCCAATCACAAACCAGCTCATTAAGTACTGTTCATTGATAACATTTGAATATGCATAAGTATACAATATACAAACTTGGCTGAATACAATGACGTATGCCCACAGATTCTGTTCAACTGAGTAATCATTTATACAATATGCAGGTAAGTAATTATACAACGGAAGTCAATGTAAGAAATTGTCGACACTGAAAGCATTAGCCATCTTTTCAGTACGTGTAGGTGATACATTGTCCAATTGCTTGTGATTCAATCAGGATTGTGCACTGAAAAAGGGGAGTCTTCTCTATCAGATTCCCTGCCAAAGACAGTTTCCCTAGAAAAACAACCTATTTGATTTGCATAGACGTTGCATATATTATTCAGGGTTTAACAGAGGCACATCATCAGCTGTATGCTCGGAGCTGCAGGACTGTAAGGAGAGAATGGATGACGCCTGGCTAAGTCTCTCTTCATTTGAGTCCTTGTCTACTGCCTCTTCCTCCTCGGTGTCGATTTTATCATCAGGGGTTGCATCTCCTGAAGGTGACTGGGCTCTATCGGATGTAGGAGTTGATCTGTCTTTTGCTTGAGCTGCTGAAGATTCGGGACTCTCATCTGTGGTATCCTGTGGGGTTTCTGAAGTCAAGCCCTCTTCTGTAGTCAAGCCCTCATCTGTAGTGTCAGTCCTGTTGTTGGTGTTCTCGTTGGGTGATCCCGCTTCTGCCACCAACTCAGGACCTCTTTCGGAGGTTGGCGTGCCAGGGTCGTTCTCTGGTTCTGAATTAGTGGAGGCTGTATCCACTAGACTCCCAGTCCTGCTGCGAGCCCTGGCTGCTCGGTGGTCCTGTGCTTGCAAGACATTCTGTAGGCCACCGGCCAGGCGCATTCGTCGGATGTTGGCAGCTGCCCGCAGGATCTGCTGGTCTCGTGTCGCCAAGTGCAAGGCGTCTTGATTCGTCTCCGAGTCCGTGTCCGAAACGGAGCTCGAGGCCGACTCCCGCTCTTGCGCTCCACTAGACTGCGGGATGGCTTCGGCTGGACTGGGACTTACTGTGGGGCAACTAAGTTCCCCTGAGATGCGACGTAGAGGTGGTGGGGTGTTGTCACCAACAGTAATCTCTTCAGGAGGAGTTGTAGGCTCACCATCCGGACTGGGAGGAAGTGTTTCGCTCTGGCTGGGAGTAGTGCTGTCTTCCTGTTCAATTTGCTGCTGGTCACCACTGCCGCTGCCACTTCTGGGGCGATCTCTGGACAGCATGCGCACAAACGTGCTGCGCTGTCTCCTTCCACTACCGCTACTCCTGCTAGGACCTCTAGACTCATTTCGGGCAATCACAGCAGCCTGGATGCCTTCAATGAAGGCTCTCTGCGCCTCGTCAAAATGCGGTGATGCCATGGTGGCTGTGTATGATGGAGGGGCCTCACGACGCAACAGCTCCTCCTCAATCTCACGAAGGGGTGACATGTGGGAGGGAGGGAGACGCTCCCGGACATGAAGCTGGTAAAGCTTACAGGTGCAGCTCAAGGCTGCCACCAGCAGCAGGCCGCACACGATGGAGCCGACAGCAGCAGCTGTGACGACATTTGTGGACGGATCTGGAATACACCAAAAATTTGAAACAAATGACAAAGATGCAAACAAAATCATAATTGTTTCCTGATTAAGAGAAAATGAGTTGCACATTGACTCATTCTGATATTTGGGGAGAGGCACTTCAAGTTTAGTGTACTGAAAGTTGATGTCAATACAATGCTTTTAAGACAAGTTAAAGAGTAAAAGAGGTACACTAACTTTAAGTACGATTACTATTATGATTTATTTTAATGGGCCTAATATGGGACTTGGTTTCATCTTGATGGAGTCTCATTTTTGGGAGCGTGATTTACTAATGACTAGACTTGTGATGGATTTGTGATGGACTTGACTACCGGTACAACACAAATCAGCCTCTTATCCCCTCCTCCCAAAAAATACCCAAATAACTGAGACTTTGACGTTGGGCTTACAGCAGTTTTCTTCATCGTCCCCATTTTTGCAATCACTAGCCGAATTACAGGTGAACCTCTCCTCTATACAGATGCCGTCCCCGCAGCGGAAGAGGCCAGCCCGAGAGTTGCACAGCGAGGAGTCGCAATCCTTCTCGTCCTCTCCTTTAATGCAGTCCTGCTTGCCGTTACAGCGCTGCTCTTGGGTGAAGCAACCCTTAAGAGTTTCGAAGCAGAAGATGCGGTCCTTGCCACAGGAAGCTGGGGGAGAAATGGAAGGGTTGTAAAAGAGAGAGATGAGAACAACTCCTGTGAAACTGGTCATGCAAATTCCTTGGTTGTTGAGTTTTAAAACATTAATTGCAACCAAAAATTGGACATTGTAAAAAAAATATACATAACAAGTATAGAGTGCGTTAAATTACTTCCCCCAAGCTTACTTGTGCAAGCATGACGCGCTTACTTGAGCCTGGCCCAAGTGACCGACTCGCCGAGCCGGGTTAGTTGGGTAAGTATCCCATAAGACCATGGAATAAACATGGCTGCCAAAGTAAAGTCCGGCGGGCGCCTTCGGCCGTGTGCTTCTAGAGCTACAGCTACGTCTATTGTCAGACCGTCCCCGCGTATTTTCAATGGGCGCGGACCTAGATCTAGCTCTAGACAGTTGATTCGGATGCGGCCTCCGTGTCATGCCAAAGTTCAACTTTCCAGCTCTTGCACGAGACTTTACCCGAAACCGTTTCGTTTATTTAGCTCCACTGGGCATGTCTGTCATCACGCGAGGAGCAGGCGCGAGTAAGCTGGGGGAAGTAATCGAACGCACTCCTTGCAACATGAGGATTTTCCTGCCTACTTCACCGGGAGGAGGCTTCACTGGGAGGACGGCTTCGAGGGCATGTCGCACATTTCACAGGTGAACGCCTGCTTCATGAACAGCTTACATCATTTTTCCAAAGATGAACACATACATACAGGTTTGTTTAGGCCCCCAAAAAAAAAGTCTCCGGTTTCTGGTATGGAGCTTGCCCAAAAAGTGGTGCGGCGACGCGGCTTTTTTTTTTTTAACCAGATTTTTTGGCTTCGAATGTCGGCTGATGACTGCAAATGGTGCCCGACTAAACTTAGTGCAAATATATGGGAGTCCAGAGAGGCCACATAAAGCTTATTCTCGACCATAACCCAATCTAAAAACACGTTAAAATTGTGCAGCAGCAGGATTCCAGTCAAACCAGTGAGTTTGGCGGTTTTGAGACATCATCTTTCATTGAAAAAAAAACTTTTTCATTTTGCCGACGCGCATGGCTACGGCGACGCGCGCGCATACCAGAAACCGGAGACTTTTTTTTTGGCCTTATGGTGTAAATCAAGGATTTTCTATTGTTCCTCCTCCCTTTTCCTTTGTTATACTCTCATTGGGTTTGTACACATTTTCTAATCAAGGTTGTCCTCGACTTGGAACCTGTCCTCAATTCATCAATGAACATGCACACATTCTTGTTTTGTAGTTGTGGGAACACACACTTGTCTCTAAGAGGCATTTGTGCGGACCGAAAAGGCTGTGGGTACAGCAGAATGTCCCCATAACTCGGTCGTTTGATACCAAAACTCAACTTTTCTTAAAATAACAGCACACCAGGTGCCATGACTTCACAGGATGCTTGAGACAATTCTCCACTTAAGTCAAGTATTGGTTTTTCACAATAATTTGGTAGGTCGTTTTTTGATCTTTGCAAATGTTGTACATTACCTTTAAACCGCACTCAATATGTCCCATTCATAAATACCTAAGACAGTTTACGCATTCCTATTGGTCGAGAGCCCGTCACGTGGCCAGTCTTAAATGGATGATAAAGACATGGCTAGCTGGTCTTAAACACTTTCCAGTGTCACATAAAATGTGGACTCCTAAAAACCCAGTGCCTCTTATCGTTTCATTGGTTGAACGTTCACAATCCTCACGTAGGCATGCGCAACACTACCAGGGAGTCAGAATTTTGTAGTTCTAAATTCAAAACGCAACGCACCAGGTGCGTTCTGCGCGACATCGCATGGAAGCATGGAGCTGTAAACACATTATGGAAGCAACAGCACTCTATCACGCGACGTCACATGCTTGTGCTTCAAATAGCGAGCACTGTAGACTCAACCTCATTTCCAGGGTGTGGAGCAGGCTGCAGTACGCGTTGCCAGTGACGGTTTTACGCATCGCCGGGAAGTACCACGCAGTGTAGACTTTCGATTGGTCAGACCGCGCTAGGCATACTAATGTGTAGTCCTTCTGAGTATTCGTTGCACTCGGCACAGGGGCGGCAAGCGAAACATATGAAAGAATTGGGACACTTGGTGGCCACGCACCATGGACAAAAAATATTTTACCAAGGTCACCCCATACTAACGTTTGGTGAACACTTTTGCAGAACGGCCGAGTAGAACACGTAAACGAAACCCCTACGTTGACCTCGTTGACCTCGCACAGTCTAGACACGCAGAAAAGCCAGCACGGGGGGCGGCCAGGCAGTCAACGTGAAAGCACACACGACGGCAAATTCCTGTGCAAAATGCAGTCACGAAAAATCGACGAAACGGATCGCCGGTCCGTACAGGAAAATCAGGACGACCCGAAGCGTCCGACCCGGCGGAAGACACCCTCCGCATTTTTCCACGGACGTGGAGCGATTTTGGCGCTGCGGGAGCCCGCGGTCTCGGATCCTTTCAGGAGCAAACATCGTCTCAGGGGCGAGTAAACTTCTCTCTTATATATATAGATCACAGAATGGCGTCTCAACGAGGCACTGGTCTGGATATGCACTGTCACTCATTGAGAGAGGTGTGGTCACTGACATGTTAACTTACCATGGCAGTTAAGCTCGTCTTGGCCTCTCATGCAGGTAAGGTGGTTATCGCAACGCTCCAGCTTGTCATCGTAGCAGTTATTGTCACCAGGCCCGCACGACGTTTGGCCTTCTAAGCATCGACCTGAAGGACCATGCAACACAAAATGAATCAAATAAAACCTGTGCTCATATTCCAGAGACGTCAGAACTGACTCAGATCTCACACACACTAAAAAGTGGACATTTCAACACTACAGAAGACATTGTACACTTTTTCTTTTTTTCAATTTTAATGGCACATATGGGAAGTACCAAAAAAATCATGGATATCAGCTGGTCCGAGGAGAATGAGTTACATGCCTAAAAACTACTAGTTGGTGGGGGAAAAGAAAATGTAGTTTGCACAATATGAATCTGAATTGAGGTGGAATATTCTAACCATTTCCACCACACAACAAATACCTTTTCACATTGAAATGGCATATCGCACAACATAAATACAACTTGTCAGTACATTGTATGTACACACGCCAAGTGTCCTGAGATGAAGCATTGAGAGATGATTCTTGATTTTTAGGAAAATTCGGACAGAAAAGATGGAGTGTTCCAACAGTGTTTTACGTCCCCACAAAACCTTAAAGGCACTTGTGGGATCATGTGCATTTCATGAATTTTGTTTGTCTCCAATAATAACACCACTCAAATCTGAAGAAGAATGTTCAAAACCTAATACGATTCAGCTCAATGGATATTACACTTTTCACAAAAACAGTGAAAACCCATGCACAAGCTTTTGATCATGAAACCTAATTTCCTCAATAGCACTCTTTATTCCAAAACTCAGTCAACTGACTGATCAGTGAAAATCACCTACATGTACATTTCTTGATTTCTTTTACATGAAAGCAAGCCAGACACACATTTTACAGGGTGTATAGTACCAGTAGGATCTTTAACCCTAACCCACCTCACTCCTCCAAAATCCTCCTGGCGGTTTTGGAGGATTCTAGAGGATTGAGGATGAATGGTGATTGAATCAAATGAGGATTCTGGAGGATTGAGGATTAATGGTGATTGAAGCACATGAGGATTTTGGAGGATTGAGGATGAATGGTGATTGAAGCACAAGAGGATTTTGGAGGATTGAGGATGAATGCATTTTGAGGCAGGACTGTCTGATGATTTTGAAGGATTTGGCGTTGGTTATCCTTCATTTAAACACGAGTGCAAAGTTTTGGGATGAGGAGGATTTTGGAGGATTGAGGATGAATGCATTTTGAGGCAGGACTGTCTGACAAATTTGAAAAATTTAGGCGGAGTTGCAAAATTTTGGAAAATTTTGGAGGATTTTGGAGGATTGAGGATGGTTGTAAGCAACAAGGGCCCTTGTTTTTTCAATTTGGCAGGGTACTTTTGGGTTTAATGCAAGTGACCCTGTGCATACATCATAAGTGTACATGTGTGAACCAAAGTTGTTGCAAGGTCAATAATATACCTTTAATCTGGTAGGTGGCATTAAATCCGCTCGCAGACACCTTGGCATCGGTTACCAGGCTAACTCTTAGCGTGTTCCCTGTGCCCTCTATCACCGTAGGTGGAATGTGGGTATCCTTGTTGTCTTTTACACCTTTGGCGCCGTAATAGGTGTCTATATAATTATCCTGCTGTTAACATCACAAGAAATAGAAACCAGACAAAAAAATTAAATTCTCGAGTCGAGTCCGTCACAAATCCATTACAAGCTCGATACAGCCTAATAATAATATTAATAATTGTGCTTATATAGCGCTTTCCATAGTATCAACAATCTTTTAGGACGGGATAGTCCAAAGTCACGTCACAAGCTATGATAATAACAATAATAATAGTGGATATTCATAAAGTGCACGTCTCCATCAGGACTGGTGCTCAAGATGCTACATCATTATTACCCCTGCTCATTGGGCCCATGAAACATTCCAAATACTATCTCAGTTCCCTGGGGAGTATATAGCTTGACGCAGCCTAATAATAATAATAATAATTCGTATCAACAATCTCAAAGCGCTTTACAATTATAACCCCATTCATCAGGCCATGGGACCACGCTGCAGCTGATATCAGCGATCAATTTATACTCCCAGGTGGAGAGAGGCAATTGTAGGTATTGTAGTTAAATGTCTTGCCCAAGGACACAAACACCATGTTCCTGGCCGGGTTCGAACCCATGCACCTTCGTACACGAGTCAAACACCGTGACCACTTGGCCATGGTGTTCTGGACCTGTTAACCACTGGACCTGTTAGGCGCAAAGAAGCTAATTCAATCACAACAACCATCTCTGCCCTCACAGGTACCCCATTTACTCCTGGGTAAGCAATGAGTGACAAAGTGCCTTGCTCAAGGGCACACGCACCGTGACCCCAGCTGGACTCAAACCCACCACCTGCAGAATTACCCACAGACCACAAATCCGATGCCCTTAACCACAAGGCCACAGCACTCCACAAGCTATTCATTTGAACCACAACAATTTAGGCATTCCTTTGTTACTGTTCATGTACATGCACTCTTTCTTAGGGCTTGGACTTGCCAAATGAAAGGGCTGTTTATTTGCAGCGGTTCAGCTATTCATTTGCAGGCATTGACACCAAATTCATGTTCAAAACATGGACGTACCGTTGCCTCCAAACCGTCGTACACCTTGACATAATCTGTGTTGACCTTTGTCTCCAGATCAAACTCGTAAAAGCGAAGTTGGATAATTGCGCCCTCATCAACCGTCAGGAGCCAGAGACAGTCCAGATTTGGGTCATACCCGTCGGGGAAATTGGGCGATTCAAAATTACCATTGGTTCCTATAGTTAAAAAAAATAAAATAAATAAAAAAGGTACAATTACTAACAACCAAACCAAAGATGGAAAGTAAAAGGGTTTACAAATCTTTATGGAAGGTGCCACCAAAATTCAACAAAGTTCTTGCTCTGCAATACAAAATTTCGAAAATTTGGGCAAGCAGTACATCTTTTTTTTTTATTGCATGTACAGAAAATGTCACGTGTTTTCACACCTCTACCCAGCTGGTGAATTTTACTAGTTGCACAGCACTACCTCTACCTGTAACTGCTCTCACGAAACCCGTCTTGTTAACCCTTAACCCAAACTTGACCTCTCACCTTTCAGGACATGATTGCAGACCGACTGGCAGGCCGTTTCGTCATCGTTATTCACGCAGTCTTGGTGGCCATCACACTTGAGCGACTCTGGCAGGCAAGCTTGCATGTTGTCTGATAGTTGATGGCAGAGAAACGTGTGGGAAGGACACTGCAGCGATGGTGTCGTATGCACTGGGTTGACCATAAAACAAACAAAGTTATTTTGTCAGTTTTATTTCCAATTGAGAAACCTGTTATTTCTGGCTGTGCTGTGAAATATGCAAACCCCGGAATCTCATGACATTTTTGCTAAGGTTTCACAAGGAAATTGTCATATTCTGACAAGTGCCCATCTCTCTTTCGTTTAGCGATTGGGCCAGACTCATATGCTGCTGTGGGGGGATCGCCACACCTCCTCCACAGCGAGTCTGTTACCTTCCCAGCATTAAATAATGCCGGTACGCATTTAACACCTGGGTTGAGAGGAGTAATTGAGGTAAAGCACCTTACTCAAGGGTACAACACGCATGGCCATAATGGGGCTTGAACTCACAACCTCTCGATCATGAATCCTGTGCCCCACCGCAAGACCACACGTGCCCACGAGCCATCCACATTAGATACTGTGGCTTCAGCTCACGTCTCCCAATGCATCCTACTATCCTGACAAGCCATTGAACTCTGGACTTCTCTCCTTTGGTTATTACCGTTTATGCAGTTGGCCTCATCCGAGTTGTCGCTGCATTCATACATGTCATCACAGACCCACCATTGCGGTATGCAATTGCCGACTCCACAGCGAAACTGGTTGCGGGGGCAAGAGCTGGTCGAACTCTCTCCTGTAGGCACGAAGAATGGAAGAAAGTTCAAATCTAAGATTCGTGTTAAAGGAAACACGGTCATGCTTCATGATTTTTTTGAGATCTGAAGAGATTTTGAGTTTTTCAAGCAAAACGATAGTTATTCACTTCTGAATGACACACAAAACTAACCAAAGAAATATCAGCCCATGTTTAGTGTATGGGTAATTACTTTACAAATTCATTTCTCGCAAGGTAGACTGGCCGCAAATTTTTTCCACGATTTATCGAGCAGTGCGACAGCTCAGTCGGTAGAGTCGTGATTTTGTATCACCAGGGGTTCTCGCGGTACGAGTTTGTATCTCCGTTTCGTACCCAGACTTTTTTTTTTTCTAATCTCAGGCTTTGGAGGATTTTTTTTACGATCGAATTCATTTCTTTTTTGTACAAAGTCAATGGGATTTATTTAGAAGAACAAGGAAGAGGTAAAAGAAGAAGAAAAGAAAAAAAATCAGCCTTGTGAAAAACACTGCGAAAAACACGGTATTCTCCACAGATAACTGCTGGTTTATGTACTGTTTGGGCTCCATGCAACAACAGTAAATGGTGCTTTTTGACCATTTTGGAGAGCCCAAGTGGGTGCACAAACAGCATGCGCCTGCTGGTTGGCAAAGTACACACGACTCATTTTATCCTGAGCATTCTCGAACCTGCAGCGTCTTTACGTGAGCGTCAAGCGCCAATGGTAATGCGTTCCAATGTCTGTTCCAGCGGTCTCCCCCAACTTTCTCTTTATCGCTGTTGAGGGGGTTCTTGTGCACACAGTCCACTGTGAATCCCTATGTTTACATACCTTTAAAATATTCGATCATGAAGCCGCTTGAGGAGACCATGGTGGTGCTCGTGAACTTGATGATGGCCTGCGTGGGCCCTGGCACTGAGATGTAAGGATCGGGTAACGTTGAACCGCAGTAAGGCACTTCGATGTCACCTACATCAATTGTCAACTTGCCCCCAATATTGCAGTTCTTAGTCGCAATGGTGTTAAAAGAGATGAATCTGTTTGGAACAAAAACCAAATACACGATATCAGTATAAACTTTCTATCTATACTATAATTCCTGGAATCTCTGTCTGTCTGTCTGTACGTCAATTATCTCCAGAACCGGGCACTGTATGAAGTTGAAAATCCTATGACTCCTAGATGACCTTTGACCTCCATTTCCGGCAGATTTGTGAAGACCCCCACCCAAGGATCACTCCCGCCAAGATTCATCAAAATCCACCAAGTTTTGTAGACAAAGAAACATTTGAAGCGAATTTGAACAATGACCTCTAATGACCCCTACATGACCTTTGACCTCAGTGATCCGATAAAGAATTGTGTCTTCCCACCCGAGGGTCACTGCATCCAAGTTTCATTAAAATCCATGAAAGCATGTACATAGCAGTTATACCTTTTTTTTCTCAAAAACTTAACCTAAACTTTAACATACCGGTACATGTACAAATCTACATACCGGGATACGGTCTAACATGTCCTGACATTCCAGCAGATGGGAGTTCTGGGGTACTTGCATTGTTGTCCTTTTATCCATTTTCTTTATAATTCACTTCTGGGGTACCATTTTTCAAAGGAAAAATTGTGGGGTACAAGTCGGCACTTTTGTTCCCTTTGTGTGCAGTACCCCACATGTAGCTCTGGTGTTTAGGGTCACACAGAATTTAGAACTTTGTTCAGGCGACACAAAAACTGCCCCCTCTTGTTCGGAGTCCATACACACTGCACGACGTTTTGGCTGGTAACCTAGAAGCACATTTTTTGTCTGTGTTTAACAGCTCCATGGAATTGTTCCCACGCCCAATGTCGTCTCTCTTCATGTACCCTCTTGCTCTCACCTGACGGTGATGATCTCCGTACTGGCCAGCGAGATGTGCCACTTGCAGGCAGCATCGTCAGGGTAGTTGCGGGGGTAGTTGGGGCTCGTAATATTACCGCTTGATCTTTGTAGGTACGTCTGTCCGCAGTCTGTCAGAAAAATACAATGAGGACAAAACTGTCAACTATTTGGACACGGTCAGCACAAAAAAACATATTACTGCTTCAAATAAAAGGAGGTTTTCGGACAAAATCTTGATGGAGACTTGGTGAAGGCATGAATTTCGGTATAAAAAAAAGATAGGAAACCTGACTTGTTTATTTGAACCTGTGTCCTCCAGTACAATTTAAAGCTGTAATCATTTGCAGCCATCCGAAAAGTAACTGGCGTTACGTTTTGTTATTCGGCCAAGCGCGCAGGCATTGGCAAGACGCACACACGCGCGGTTGCTATAATTTGTCGGCTCAGTGAGAACGCGTCTCGGACGCTGAATTCAGGCCAAATTCAAAATTTGACTTTTACGAAAAAGTGACTGGGATTTTTGGAGCTAAAAGAAAATTTGAGGGAAATTGACTGAAGCTGTTTTTTATTTGGAGTCATCCGGAGAAATGCAATCTCTTAACTGGCATCATAAAATGTACACACAATTTCATTTTCTCTGTTATTTATGTCAGAACAAACCTATAAATTTTAAGTACAGATGGGTTTTTTTTTTAATCGCACAGACTTTGGCATGTAAAGAACAAAGGGAACATGACTGTAGATCTATGGATTTAAAACCACGTCTTCGGGAACAAAATGGAACATTGAGTGACAAGCTTTTTGGACCTTCGAAAGCATTGAGTTTTGAACAGTACATTACAAGGACAAAACTTTCTTTCTTGATTGTGTTGTCTATTCTAGCTCACTAAATTCATTTGCTTTTTTTTTACCCTCTCTTCTGAGAAGGAATCTTGAGTGTTTCAATGTTTGGGGTTTTTTTTTCAATCTCACTTGTATGGTTCACAAGAAGGAAGTCACTGCATTTACAATGTACATGTAGCCAGTCTGTCAAAATATACAATGACAAATGTTGCTTCTAAGGCGGAAAAAATGTATGCTTGCCAACATAAAGGTTATGTCTCCTTTCTTTGTAATTTTCAATCACGTTAATGTTTCTGAGCATGCACGTACCTGTCTCTGCACATTCAGTTACTGTGTACAGGAACATCAGGAGAACTGCAAGAAATCAATAACATAAAAAAAGGTTACAAATGGTTGCAAATCTACCGTAGTCTATATTCTTCCGGAATGTCAATGAATGTATAGACAATTCTGGCGGCAGCCATTTTCTGCAGTGGCACCAGGTGAGTCGCGCTCAGCTAATACGCACACGCTTCGGGCTCCTTCGACCAATAGAATACCATAATGCACGCGACCCTTGTCTTTGCGCGTGCAGCATATGTGCGTGAGTGTGACACCACCGCAGTAAAAGCTTCTAATTCTGGTCCCCGTATTCCACTATAAGTTGGGCCTAATGCCAAGAAAAAAAGTTGTGTTTTCAATTTACACATACTGTAAACTGAAAGAAAAATAGGGTGAGTGGTTGGTGACATGATTTGTTCCGTCTGACATGGTGTGACTTCAACTGAGCTTCACTGAATATGACAAAGTGTTGTGGAGAAAAATTTTATCTCAGCATTAGAAGTGATTGTTACCCTTCTCTTGAGATAAAACATAGAAAAAAAATTCTTCCTGAAGTTTGGATAAAATTTGATTTTGTTTCTGAAATTCTGAGGAGGCTCATTTCTATCGATTCCGTCCAACATGTACACATTTTTCATAATAACAGACAAAGAAAAGTGTGGAATTTGGAAATAATGTTATGTGTCATTACTTAACCCTAACTCCCTAGGCCTTTTTGCTGGGATGTAGCCTCAATCCTGCAAAATCCTCCAATTGGCCTCATGGAAAAATAGCATATAGCCTCAATCCTGCAAATTCCTCCATTATTTCTTGAATATGGTCTGTGGAGGGGTCACCACTGCCTGAATCCTACAAAATCCTGCGGCAGTGACTGTCAATATATTGAGGCTTGGCCAGTGACATCCTGGAGCAGTACGGAGGATTTCAAGCATAATCCAGGCCTATAGTTATGCATGGCTGAGTAAACACAACAATAGGTCCGGCCCAAGACCTTGACAAAGTGCATCCCACGAAATCAGTAACACACTTTTGCCATGTAACCTCAATCCTTCAAATTCCTCCACTTTGGCAAAGAGGATTTTGAAGGATTCAGGGCGGTTAGGGTTAAAGTCTTTGGTGTTGTTTGAAATCAGAATAACATTTTAACCCTAACCCCCTAGGCCCTTGTTGCTTACAACCATCCTCAATCCTCCAAAATCCTCCAAAATTTTGCAACTCCGCCTAAATTTTTCAAAATTGTCAGACACTCCTGCCTCAAAATGCATTCATCCTCAATCCTCCAAAATCCTCCTCATCCCAAAATTTTGCACTCGTGTTTAAATGAAGGATAACCAACGCCAAATCCTTCAAAATCATCAGACAGTCCTGCCTCAAAATGCATTCATCCTCAATCCTCCAAAATCCTCTTGTGCTTCAATCACCATTCATCCTCAATCCTCCAAAATCCTCATGTGCTTCAATCACCATTCATCCTCAATCCTCCAGAATCCTCATTTGATTCAATCACCATTCATCCTCAATCCTTTAGAATCCTCCAAAACCGCCAGGAGGATTTTGGAGGAGTGAGGTGGGTTAGGGTTAATGTACCGTAATTTTCGGAATATAAGCCGCGGCTTATACGTTGAATTTGCCCATGAAAATGTTTACTGCGGCTTATACACAGGGCGGCTTATACGCCGAGCCTTGAAGAATAAAAAATAAGATTCACGTGTATTTAATGTACTGGTACAAGAAGAGATGTGTTGCTGAAATGAATTATACATTAAGAAAGTCATTAACAAATCGAAACCACGTCTCACGTAAAGGTACCGAGCGGTAAAAAGTACGGTGATGAAAGCTGTCTTCAATACTTGCGACCAGCCGGCCGTACGTGATACTGGTACAGTGCAGCAGCGATCGATATGCAGCATGCTTTCCCCCAGCGGACCACACCATTTGTAGTAATAAAGGGGTGTTCTTTCTTGGGAACAATAATTACCAATATTTCCGCTGTTTAAAAAAAAAGAAAAAAAGACGACTAAAATGTTTATGGCGTTCGAAACATTTTTTATTACATAATCAGTTGTTCAACGTCACAATATATTTTGTTTTTTTTAAATGTATTCAAGAAACGATGTAAAACTCAAAAGAGGGACTAAATCACCCCTTACAAAATTAATGGATTCGTCTATTAAAATGTCCGCTTCGTTTCGACTATTTCCGAAGAAAGTTACGATCGAAACTTGAATTGTTATCGCAACTACTCGTTAGTAATCGCAACAATTTGATAAGTTTTGAGGTAAAAACGGACCTGTTTATTCTTAAGACAAAACAAATCAGCATCTGTTGCCACAAAGCAAGATTTGTAGCGCTCCAGTCCGACAACACACGGTGGGTTTCATAATCTCTCACGTGCTGTGGGAAAATGTTGTCATTCACCGGCGTGCGTGGCGCAGGCTGCCGGGCTATGACGGGCAGCCGGCAGCAGTTCCCGGTGTTTATTTCTCAACAATTCCCATATTTGTTTGTAAAAGTATCGATTGTAAATGATTTGATATAACTTTTGTGGCCCTTTTAATAGCATCTGTAGTGTAAATGGAACTGGTTCAGAGCATTTTGACTAGAATTTTGAGGCCTTACAAAATTGAAACCGCAGCGGTTGGTGCGGCTTATACGCCGGTGCGGCTTATACGCCGACTTCAAATCTTAATTTGCAGATTTTTGCGTGCTGCGGCTTATACGCCGCGCGGCTTATATTCCAAAAATTACGGTATTCTAAAACAAAAATTGTTACATTTTGTTCTATCAAATTCCGTCCGACATGATTTAGGGACTTTTGAAACATACCCATGTACATACATGTACGTGTACATGTCATTTTTTTCTTGGCCTATTTAGTATACCCGGTACATGTTCGAATGTCGTACATGTATGCATATACTCAGGGCTCCAACTTGGGATGTTCTGCTTACAATGTACATTTAAACCAACTCTGGGCATTCCAGAAAAGTTTTTTTTTTTAGAAATGGTACCCAGTACATGTACTTTACATTGCACTGGTACATCATTTTTGAAGTGCAATCAATTTATTCTGGAAAGAAGTTTCTTCTACTTGCATGAAAGTTTCATGCATTCCTACATACCCTGAATACAATCATGACAATCCAGGTACATTGTGTATGTTGACATCAGGTTAGACTTCTTTGAAGTGTACACAATCAATATTCACATCTGAGATTTCTTTCCACAATCCTGTGTGACAAATTCTCATACGATAGTTGACAATGAGTCAGGGGCATAAAAAAATTATGGCAAATAATAGAGCACAACGTGGCAATTTTCATCACAAACCCCGCTGCGGTTTTGTTACATGTACCAAACATGCCAAATAAGATGCTTAGTCCTCCATACATGTACCAGTACATGTACAATGTACCGGTACCAAGGAATTATTGGGCAAGGAACTATTTTAGCAGTAACCATACATGTACATGTACATACCGGCATGCTGCACACTAAGCACTACAAAATGCAAAATGTATTGTACATACATACATGAATTAAAGCTATAGTCCATCATTTGCAGCCATCCGAAAAGTAACTGGCGTAATTATTGTTGAAAAACATACTTGGTTGAAAGATAGTAAGGGGACTAAACTCCCTGTGAAATTATTCTTTCTGGCAAGCTGTCATTTTGAAGTAATCAACGAAAGAAGGCCTTTCCAACGGTGCGTCTTAAGACGCACCGTAGGAAAATTTAAATTAGTAGTTCGTTTTGTTATTCGGCGAAGCGCGCGCAAGCATTGGCACGACACACATGTGCGCGCGGTTGCTATAATTCGTTGGATCAGTGCGCGACATCGCGTATAGCTGCAATCGGCTCAGTGAGAACGCGTCTCGGACGCTGAATTCAGGCCCAATTCAAAACATGATTCAGCAACATTTGATTTGAAATTGAGATCCTAGAATGCTGTTTTTCTCCGGAATATACAGCTGAAGCTGAGCTGAAACTTCATCAGGTTAGTTGTTCAGTATCCTTCATTAGATTTTTGAACACTTTTGTTGCTTCAAACGAACAAAATGCACAAATTACAAATGATGGACTATACATGTATCTTTAACACATTTTCGGACACAATCCCCATGTAAAATATATGGCGCTGATTTGTAGTCCTCAATATGAAAATGTCTAGCAAAACCACCAAGAAAATTTTGCAAATTGGTGTTTAAAAGCTGGATTTTTACAAAATTCAAACTTGGAGGGTTTAAAACCCTAACTTCTAGAGGCCTACATGTAGGCCTCTAGAGGCCTACATGTAGGCCTTCTAGAGGCCTACATGTAGCTCCCAGAGGTCCGTGGAGAGGTGACCACTGCCTGAATCCTTCAAAATCCTGCGGCAGTGACTGTCAATATGTTGGGGCTTGGCCAGTGACATCCTGGAGCAGTACGGAGGATTTCAAGCATGATCCAGCCCTATATTTATGTACGGCTGAGCAAAAACAACACAAGGTCTGGCCCAAAACCTTGACAAAGTGCATGACTACGAAATCAGTAGCGCACTTTTGCCAGATAAACTCAATCCTCCAAATTCCTCCACTTCGGCAAAGAGGATTTTGAAGGATTCAGGGCGGTTAGGGTTAATATTGTAAGTGAAGTTGAAGGGGCTGGGCACACATGGTACATGTATGTACATATGTACATACCGGTAAGTATGTATCCCGAACAAAAACCAAATGAACATACAGGGTGAGTCAAAAAAAGTGGAACCCAAACCCAAAATTTTTTATTTCATATTTAAAACAAGTCAGGTGTGTTTACAAACACAAATGCCCCGCAACCGTGACTGTTCCCATGACATAACACCACTCTTTTAACATCAACTTACATGTACCTTGGTCACATGGAACATTCATTGACAGCATTAGTGTCTTCTGTAGGTTTTATATGAATTAATCCCTAATCCCTATAATCTCAGAATAAAAAAAAGATTTCTATTGTTTTAGCCACTGTGAACTTGACCCTTGACCTTTTGGCCCCAAATTCAATAGGCTTC